CTCTCTCTCTCTCCCTCTCTCTCTCTCTCCCTCCCTCTTTCCCTCCCTCCCTCTCTTCCTCTCCTCCTCCTCCCCCTTCCTCCCTCTCTCCCTCTCCTCTCTCTCCCTCCCTTCCTCCCTTCCTTCCCTCCTCCCCTCCTCCTCCTCCCCCTTCTTACTTCTCTCTTTCCTCTCTTTCCCTCACCCTCTACCTTCTCTCTCTCCTGCACTCTCCCTTTCCTCTCTCTTTCTCTGTCCTCTCCTTCTCTCTCTCTCTCACTCTCTCCTTCTCCTCTCCCTTTCTCTCTACCTGTTCTCCCTCTGCCTCTCTCTCTCCCATTCTCTCTGTCTCTCTCCCTCTGCCTACCCTCTCTCTCTCTCCCAGTCTCTCTGCCTCTCTCCCTCCTTCTCTCATTCTCTCCCTGGTCTCTCACTTGGTCTACTCTCTGTCTTCACCCCACATTCCCCTGTAGCTCCTAGAGCATCCAGGGGCAGAGGAGAGGCCTTCCCTAAAAACCCTAGGGTCACTCTGAGCCGCTGTCTTGGCTGCTAATGGTGCAGTTGCTTGCAAAATTAATACTGTATCTCATTCAATTAATGTATGCCTCATTCCTCTTGAGCTTAACGAGATTAAAAGAATGTCGGGCGCCTGGTCCCTGAATATGAATGAGAGACTTGCTCTCAGCCTGTGGCCACCCTATAATGTTGAAACAGTCAGAAGATTAATACACATCCGCTCTGAGGTTCTTGTGCAGCATAGAGGGAGCCCATGAAGGTGATAAGAGCTGCAAAGGGGAAGAGGGTTCAAGGCACAGCTGGAAGTGCCATGCACCAGCCCTGGCAAAATGCAGGGCTGCCATTGGTTGGTTTGTGGGGCAGCGGAGGTCTGCTTTGGCCAGTGTTGAATTTCTCTCACCTTCCAGTTGCGGTGGGCCATTCGGTCCTGGTCATCTGGGCACTAGGCAAGTTCAAGAGCATCTGAGCAAGTGAATGCCAGCCTCTCTCTGTTTATTTCCCACCCACAGAGTGGGCGTGACTTTGCACAAGAAGCAGCTGCACTGACCAGTTTATTCTGTGGCTTATTGGTCACCTGCATTAAATAAAGTTTTTAAATAAATAAAAATATAGATGGACCAAAAGAAAAAAACAGAGTCTTAAATTTCCTATCTCCTTATAAAATGAACCATAAAATTTAACATCTGGAAAGTTCAAGCCAAAGACTAGGCTTATTCTAGATAAGCTTCACGCAGGAGAAAGAATGCTAACTCGTAACAGGATGTTTGTTGGCAAACATGGTGATTACGCTTATGGGTTAATAGTAGAAGATGGATGAGTAGAGCCTGTTATTCATTCTTCCGGACCTGTTATTTCTGTTGGGGAGGAAATCAACTAAATAAGGCAATAATGCCAGGTATTTATTCACCAAATATTTGTCAAGGTTAAAATAAATACCAAGCATCACGTTGATCCTCAAGGACACAGAAGTGAACAAAGTAGACACATGCCCTATACTCAAAGAGCGTGCCATCTGGTGGTGTATGAAACACTCAAATAAGCAGTTGTGATAGAAGGTTAAAGGTACACAAGAAGAGGGCTATGAGCACTGAAGAGGAAAGTGAGGTCCTCGAGTCTCCTGGGACCTGAAAGTAGTAGACCCTCAGGAAAGAAAGCAATTTCATGTCCATTTCAGGTGCCTGGCAAGAACCTGGGTGGCTTGTAATTCAATTGACCTGCTCGCCATGTTAGAGAGTGAGGCTTGTGAAATAGTGTTCTTGAGGCACAACATCCTTTGGCCACCGGGGACAAGGAAGGAGTTTTGGGGCCCAGGTTTTGACTGTGCATGGCCCAACACCTTCATTCCATAATTGCAGTGGGTGAAGACAGGTCCGCTTCACTAGCACTCTAAGCTCCTTGCCACAGAATCGTGAACCCACCGACCCATCCAGATGACAAAGCCTGGAGAAAGGCATGTGACCCCATCAGCGAAGTTTTGAGGGTAGTGATGGAGAGACAGCACGCCCATCCCAGTGGCGGCTGCTGAGTTCCCCCTAGAGAGGGCTTTTGTGGATGACCACAGGGGGACTGGAAGCCTGGGAGCACCAGCTCTGCGGGTGCAGCGCAGGCACCTTCACCCTATGCCCCTGTGTCTTAGGCTTGTGTGCCCCACACTACCCTGGACTGCAGGACTTTGCTTCTTCCCAACATCCTGCAAGAAATCACTCCCATGAGGCATCAGAGAGGAACACAAACTTTACAGCGATGCTCTAGGGAAGAAAGGAGAGGGGGCCGTCTGACACAGAATAACTAATACAGTTTAGAACAGCCATCTCAGCCTTTCTGTCCTTTCCAAAGTCCCTCCCAGCTACAGTGCAAATGGGAGTTCCTCTTTCCTTATCCCACCCACTCCTGCACTGCCCCTGCCCCTCTCTCTGTCCCCTGCCCTCTGCCCTCTGCCTGCTGGAATTTCTTCTCAAATATCAAATATCTATTGCCTCCTCTATCTATCATATGTAGTAGCTTTATTTCTCCCCTAAAACTTGGCTGCAGCCAACACCCAGTTCTCTGAGATCGAGCTTCTACTTAGAAACGAGCTTATCAAAGAATCGCTTCAGCAAAGGTGATCTCTCCCATTAGGAATTCTAGTAAGGTTTGTTAGAGGAATAAATTTGTCTTTAAATCGTTACATCAGCAAAGACATGGGTGGGACGCAGAAGGGAGCCAGTAGGACCGTCTGTGCCTTCTTCGTGATCCTTGGACTGCACAGTGTCCCCAGAGCACCTGAGATCTCCAACCCTTCCAAGCACCCAGGGCCCGAGCCCTCCTCCACCTCCTTGTCTCCTGTGAACTGGGGAACCCAAACCTGGTGTCCTCTGCTCAACATGTCCACAGGCATCCGGATGCTGGACCAGCCGTTCATGACGGACATCATCGAGGCCTCCTCCATCAGCCACATGCCGCAGCTGATCGACATCTACAGCGCCAGCTGGGGCCCCACAGACAACGGCAAGACAGTGGATGGGCCCCGGGAGCTCACGCTGCAGGCCATGGCCGATGGCGTGAACAAGGTAAGAGGGCCGGCCCCCTACGCCCCGGCCACTCTCAAGGTGGGACACAGTGGGTGGAGGGGTGGAGGCAACTGGGTAAACCATTGTCACCCTGTGTGTGAGTCCAGGTCCTGCAGGAGTCAGACAGTACAGGGGCTTAGCCATGCAGGAGGCTGACTACGGGAAGGCCTGTGAAGGATAAGGAGAGAAGACAGAAGAGCCTCAGACGTGATGCCTGCCTGGCTCCTGCGAACGACAGTGGGAGAGAAGGGGCTTGGGGAGGGAGGGTCTCAGACAGCAGTCCCCATGCCAAAGCTGCCCATCACAGGCAGAAAGGGGCCTGCACTGGCACCCACACCACCCGCTCAGTCGTTGGCTGGCAGTAACACACAGGACATGGGGTCTCGGCAGGACGGGGTGGTACATCCAGGGGGCAGCAGCCAGGACTGTGACCACGACACTCATGGGGCAGGAGGTCTGAGCACACATTCTCACAGCCGCTCCTCTGAGATTAGCTCAGGCTTGGACAGAGCCAAGGAGAAGGAAGCCAGGCAGAGCCTCCAAAGGGATGAGATGGAGGTCAATGCTGCAAAGGGAGGGGAAGGGGGCCCCTTCTCTGAGACACTGGGGCTGGAGCCACCCCAAAGGAGACACGAACCCAGGTTCAGGGACCAGAGGGTTTCTGGGCTCCAGTCTCTCAGGAAGTGACTTAACCTCGCCTGTCAAATGGTGATAATGAGGGGTCACAGAGTCACTGTGATGTGTAAATGAGAAAGATGCAAGCGCTCGTCACTGAGAAGTGCTTGCAAAGGGTCAGCATTTGTCCCAGTCTC